GTGTGCACATGGGACTGGAGAGGGTGACCTTGAACTAACCGTCAGGGGGTGGGACCTCAGACTAATCTCCACGCATAATCGGCTGCCAGGGTGGTGGGCACGCGGAGATGCGGGCAGGGCGGCCCAGAGAGCATGGCAGCCCCGCGCCCTCTCCCAGCCCCTGGGCTCTGCACCGCCGTCATCCAGCTGTCCTGAGTTACACCCCTTTGTGGCAAACCAGGGATCTATGGGTAAAACGCCCCTCTAAGCTCTGCGGGCCGCTCTAGCAAACTAGCCGAACACAAAGAGAGGGTCATGGTGACCTCTGACCTATAGTCAGTGAGTCAGAAGCACAGATGACCCCTGCAGGCTTGGGATGGGTGCAGAAGTGGGTGGGGGGCACCTTGTAGACTGAGCCCTTATCCTGCAGGCAGCAACACCACCTCCAGGCGGAGAGTGTCCAGTGGAGTGAACTAACTGTAGGGCCCCAGCCGGGGTGGGGGGACCCACACGCTGGGATAGAGGGAATGGTTTTTCATCGTGAAGCATTGAAAATAACCCCAATGACTGATAATAGTAACGTTTAAGGATGAATTATGGCTGGAGGGGACGGGTGATTGCGGAGGTGAGAGCTAAAAGGGTCTCTTTTGGGGGTTGGTGAGAATGTTCTAAGACTGATTGTGTAATAGCTGCATGACTTGGTGAATATACCAGAAGCCACAGACGTGCACACTTTACTTTTTGTGTTGATGTATCACTGATATACAACTTTATATTGGTTTCAAATGTACAACACAGTGATTCAACAGTTACACACATTATTAATTCTCACTCCACTAGCGCATTACCATCTGTCAGCATAGGAAGATGTTGCAAAATCATTGGCTATATTCTCCAAGCTGTACTACCATCCCTGTGACCAACTTACATTATGACTGAGAATTACTGTGCCCCTTGATCCCCCTCCCCACCCACCCACCCCAATCCCTACCCTTTGGTGACCACTAGTCACTTCTATTTTGTTCCTTCTGTTTTGTGTTTATGCTCCATAAATGAGTGAAATCATATGGTACTTGTCTTTCTCCACCTGGTTTATTTCACTGAACATAACACCCTCTAGCTCCATCCATGTTGTTGCAGGATTTTTTTTATGGCTGAATAATATCCCATTGTGTATATGTACCACATCTTCTTTATCCATTCATCTACTGATGGACACTTAGGTTGCTTCTGTCTCTCAGTTATTGTAAATAGTACGGTGATAAACACAGGGGGGCACATATCTTTTCGAATCAGGGATTTTGTTTTCTTTGGGTAAATTCCTAGGAGTGGAATTCCTAGGTCAAATGGTATTTCTATTTTTAGTTTCTGAGGAACCTCCATACTGTTTTCCACAGAGGTTGCACCAATTTGCAGTCCCCCCAGCAGTGGGGGAGGCTCCCCTTTCTCCGCATCCTCGCCAGCATTCGTTGTTTCTTGTTTGGATGGTGGCCATCCTAACGGGTGAGGTGACATCTCATCGTGGTTTCCATTTGCATTTCCCTGATGATTAGTGATGTGGAGCATTTTTTCATGTGCCTGTTGGCCATCCGTATTTCTTCTTCAGAGAAATGTCTGTTCAGATCCTCTGCTCATATTTTCATCAGGTTATTTGTTTTTTGGCTGTTGAGGTGTGTGAACTCTTTGACATTCACACTTTGAAGAGGCAGTTGGCTGGCGTGTGAAGAGTATCTAATAAGGCTGGGACTGTAACACTTTTTTAAGGAATTGGATATATAATATGCCTTCAAGCAGAACTTGGCCGCAGCGTAGCAATTATAGTCAACAATAAACTTCAAAGTTGCTAACAGAATAGCTCTTAACTGATCCCATCACAATGTAGAAATGGTGATTATGTGACAGGATGTAGGTGTGAGCTGACTAGGCGGTGGTGGTATTGCATTAAATCAACAGGCTGCACACCTCATGCTTACACAGTGTTACACACCCATAATGTAGCAATTTAAAAAACAGAAGGTGGTCTTCAGATAGATGGGAGGCCGGAAATGTCACTCCTTAGCACTTGTGGCAGTTTTCATTGGCATAGAAGGTCCTCCTTGGGGGCCCAGGAGGAGCAGAGAGGGTTGCTCTGCCCTGCGCCTCCCGCCCTCCATGGCTGACAGAGCAGAGGGCCTGGGCAGCACAGCAGGGCACCCACCAGGTGGGTGTGGGGCAGGGGCTGGGCGAAGTCATCCCAGGCCAAGACAGCATGAAATTGGGAAGAACACGGCACCCCATCCGGAAAGCCCACCCCCGACCAGGTCACACACAGTATGCGCACCTCTGGCCTGAGGCCTTCCACTGGTGAGCAGGGACCCTGGCCTGAAGATGGGTGAGCTTCGGGGGTCCCTAAAAGCACCCCATGGATGCGTGTAGAAATCTCCTCTACGGTATGAGCCCCTAAATACACATGATGGTCGTAGGTCTCCTCTCTGCTGTAAGAGTCCCTCAACGCACACCGTGGATACAGAAGCAGAGCAGGGTTTGGGGAGCTGCTCTGCTTTGTGCCCCCAGATGCTGGACCTGAGGGTCAGAGAGGGACAGAGAGAGGGCTGCTAAGGCCACACCAGGATGACAGTCGCACTGGGCTCTCCCTTCCGTGGTGCTGTCTCTGCGATGCTGCTATCTGCCCCTTCCTCCTAGGTCCCCGCATCTCTGAGTCTCTCCCCATCCCCAACCCTCTCCTCTCCTGATGCTGTGAGTGTAGAGGGTTGAATTGCATCCCCCAAAGAGCCGTGTCCAAGTCCTAAGCCCTCGTACCTGTGGATATGACGTTATTTAGAGTCTTTGGAAATGTGATTAAGGGCCTTGAAGTGAGATCTTCCTGAATTTAGGGCAGGCCCTGAATCTAGTGACTGGTTTCCCTGGGGAAGGACAGACCCAGAGGGAGAAGCCCATGGGGAGACCAGAGGCAGAGATGAGGGGGACACCGGGGATGGCCTGCCGGAGACGTGGAGGGAGTGCGGGCCTGGGACACCGTTGATTTTGGACTTGCCACCTCCCGAAGGGTCAGTCTACATTTCTGTCAAGCCCCATCCCTGGTAATTTACAAGAGCAGCCCTGAAGCTATGGCACCTAGCAGCCTCCCCCAGCCTCAATCTGTGAACGCCCCCAGCTGTACAATGCCCACAGCCGATTCCCGCACCACCACAGGCCCCATTAAAAATGGTTAAAATGGTAAGTTTTGTTGTTAAAAGAAAAAAGAAAAAAAGGATCCAGTTTTGCTGTTATTGTTATTTCCCCTCCCCAAATAACAGAAATGTCACTGTTTCAACGTCCACTTTACTCAGGCAATAAAGAATCAACTGAGGGCCAGAGGGAAGGGGCAGGTGGGTCCCAAAGGCCATCTGGGAAGGGGGACCGGCGGGTGGCGGGGGAGGACCCAGCAAGGGTCTGTGTGAGCAAAGGCGGGCCCTGTGCAGGCGGGTGCCACCCGGTGCCTGCGGACAGGAGCCCCCAGCCTGGCGCCTGCCCCGAGGGAGCTCGTCCCTGCCCATCTGGGAGGCCAGACAGCTGCCTGGCCTGACTCTGGTCAGCTGGTCTTGAGCCCCTGGCTCTGGAAGGCAGTCAGGGTGAGGAGGAGCTGGGCAGCATAGTAGGCAGCCATGACCAGCAGGCGGCCGTAGGGCAGGGGCTGGGCAAAGGTGTTCCAGGCCAGCACGGCATCTGAGAGCGTGAAGAGCAGGGCACCCCAGCTGGCGCCCCCACCCCTGGCCAGGCCACGCCACAGCACGGTGGCCAGCACCAGGGCGTAGGCCGTCAGGGGCAGGACCTCAGCAGGCGGGACGTGGAGCAGCAGGAGGCAGTGATAGGGGGCAGAGGCCAGGACGACGGGCAGCAGGAGGCCTGGCTGCCAGGGGGTGAGGCCGAAGGCGCAGAGGTAGAGCAGGTGGGCTGCAGCGAAGGCAGCCACGCCTGGAGGAGACGGGGGCACTGAGTCCTGCCCCCACCACCTTGGAGCCTGGGGCCTCACTGTACTCAGCACTGTCCACTGGGCTCCCAGGCCGGGGCGGACGAGCCACTGCACCAGCCAGTGCCTCTGCCTGGCCTGTCCCTGCCTGGACAGGCATGTGGCTCCCGCATGCCGGCGACTCCCCCTCGGCAGGGCTGCCCACAGCCTCCCGCGGCGATGCTAGCCGACCCTCGGGAAGAACTCCGGGAGGGCCGGGCTCTGGACCTCAACTCCCTTGGCTCCCGGTAGGCACCCTGCACCCCAGGCCCATCCCCGTGGGGTTCAGACAGGGCAGTGTGGCCTCGCTCACCGTGCAGGAAGGCCCCGGGCCAGATGAGGCAGGCGTCCCCGAGGGCGGAGCACAGAAGAGCCCCCTGCAGCAGCGTGCTGTGGCGCCCGCCCGGACCCACGGCCCGCAGGGGCAGCAGCAGGCAGAGGACGGGCAGGCACTTGACCAGGGCGCTGACCCAGGACGGCTGCTCCTCCGGGATCCAGAGGAGGAAGTAGGCAGCGCAGGCCAGAAAGAAGGGGCTCAGCCACCTGCCCACGTGGGGCTGCTTTGGGGGACGAGCGGGCTGCTGAGCCACTGGAGCTCAGCCAGCTCTGGGGGTCAGGCCCGCCCTGCGGGACTCAGGCCCAGGGCACCCCCAGCCCCACTGCCTTGTGGGGTAAACTGTTCAGGGACCAGGACGTCCAGCCTCCCAGGAGAGCAGGGCCCCCCAGCTCCCTGGGACTGCTTCCCAGGGGCTGGGCCCAGCACCCCCCCATACCCAGCAGCTCACTTGGGCTGAGGAACAAGGCTTCTGGGGCAGCCCCTCTTGCCAGGTGTCCATGTTGGTTTGAGGTCCCCCCAAGTGGCCTGTATGTGGGCACCAGAGGCTTTGGGGGTGGAGGGGATGGTGCGTGGTTACACGTTAACCCGAGCAGTGTCCTGTGGACTCTGGGACTGATAACAGGGCCCAGGGAGATGCCGCCCCCATCCTGGGATGGCCCTGCCTGGCACCCACAGATAAGGTGCCAGGACCCAGGGGTCCCGCCTCCCCCACAGACCCCTGCCCTGCCCCCAGGCCTGGCCTACCACCCTGACCCAGCCCCCAGGAGGGACCGGGCAGGATGCTGCACCCCAATGACACAGCCCCACGTCTCGGCCAGCAGGGCCACCCTGCCAGAGCGAGGGACAGGCGGATGTGCCCCCCATGCCCTGGGTCTTCCTGTGCTCTGGCCTCCCTACTGCAGCCCCGTCCAGGGCTCTGGCCTGTGCCTCTCCCTCAGGAGCCCCTCAGCCACCACCTGTGTGCTGAGCAAACGAGCACGAACGCGCGCTGCACAAGGGCACCCTCCCCGCGTTGCCCCAAGCTCTGGGGTCGCCGCAGCAGGCTTCCCGTGCACACCAGCGTGCACCCACTGCTCCATGCCTCTGTGCCTGTATGGCAGGCAGGGGCTCCTGGGCACCACCATCTGCCCGGGTAGGCCACTTCCAAGCGCCCCGCTCTACTGCTGAGGGATAGCTCAGGACTCGGAGACTAAAGGGACCCTGGGAGATGGCTTGCTGAGACCAGGTCCCACACAAGGCAGGGGATGCTCAGTCCCGGCCCCGCAGGGAGCTCTGCCTGGTCTGACAACCACCCCCGACCCTCCCAGCGCCACACCCAGAGGCTGAAGGAGGCCAGCCTGAGGGGCCAGCTTGGGCTCCTCCACCCCACTTCCCAGAACTCGAGGTCTGAGCAGTGAGCATCTTCAACTGTCTTCATTTATTTATATTTGCAATATGAAATAGAAGCTCAGCACGGACACACACACACTCACGCCAGCCTGGGGACAGGGAGCTGGGACAAGGTCACTTGGCAGCTGGGCTGGACCCCTGACCCTTGGACAGAGGGGACCCAGCCAGACCCCCGCCAAACCCCTGCCCCAGGGTCCATGGGAGGCATCGGGGTCTCAGTGAGTGTCAGGGCCCCACAGGAATGTCTCCAGAGAGGAGCCCTCAGACTGCGACCCCGTTTCTGCAGAGTCGGCCAGCCAGGTGGAGGGCCCTGGAGCTCCCAGCCTGGGGGAAAGTGCAGGGTCCGGGGTGAGGGGTTCGGGCAAAGGCACGGCCCCACTCGGGCCTCCACAGAGTGGACCTGAGCTGACAGGCCGAGTGTGGGCGTGGGCGTGGACACAGAGGGAGGGAGCACGGCGGGCGCCCAGCACGGCGCCCCTGGGCCACGGTGAGGTCCCCCGCCCGCCGCCTGGCTCTCTGCCCACTCCCCCCTCAGTACATATATATAATATATAATATAGGTCTCCCCTCCCTCCTTTCTGTCTGTGGCCCCATTTTGATCCTAGGAGACAACTCTGTCGCTTCTTCTCTCAGTGCAAACGGGGGTGGGGGTGCGGACCACTCTCCCAGGCCCCCGGTTCCTGGGAGTGCAGAGAACACAGCGCGGGGATGGCAGGGTGGGGCGGTGGGGTGGCAGCAGGGCCTCGCAGGACCCGCCCTGCCCCCGACCCAGGCAGGGCGCATGAGGAGGTTGGAGGGTGCGGCTGCCACCCCGGGACACAGGCAGTTACCTGGGAACCAAAAGGGAAACCCGTGTGAGGGGCCCCCCGGCCCCCGGCCTGGCCCCGGCCCCCCACTGGCCCCTGCCACTCACTGGGAGCCCAGGGCCGCTGGCCCTCCTGGGGCAGAGCCACTGGGCATTGGAGGCAGCTCCAGGGCCTGGGCACTGTCAGGAGGAAGGGACACGGGGAGGTCACGCCCTCTGCACACAACGCCGGCCGCCCCGTGAGGCTGCCCCGCGCTCACCTCCGGCACCGAGAGAGCCCTAAGGGCTCTGGGCTCTTTTCCCCCTCCGTGGTCTGAGGGTGCTGGCAGGCCGCAGGGGCTGGGACAGAGGTAGCAGGGTCTCTAGTTGCACTGTGGGAGGGTCAGGGGGTTACCAACACCCCACGGGACACCCTTGCCCCCAGCTGGCTTGTGTGAACAGGGAGGGGAGCACAGCCAGGGCCCCTGGGAGCCACCCCCAGGCTGGAGGAGGGCAACGTGGGCTGGGACACCTTCCGCACGCTCCCTGTCCCCAACCCCGCTGGGAGCCTTCCTGGCCCTGGGGCTGAGCTGGGGGCGTGTGTGGGCACAGGCACGACCCCAGGCTTCGGCGGCCCAAGGTCTTGCAGCTGATGCAGACCGGGGGTCCTGAAGGGGCCACGCGGAGCAGCTCCACGGCAGGGACAGCTCAGGGGCCGGGCTCTGCGTCCCCAGCACAGCCGCCCAACAGCTCATCTACAGCCGGTCACCTGTCCAAGGGGCTGGGGGCGGAGCGTGTCCCTCTGAGGGTGGCCTGGAGGTCCTCCACGCTGACCAAGGTCTGGCAGGGGGCTGTGGGAGGAGAGAGGCCCGGAGTGAGCTGTCTTCCGCACTGGGCGTGGGGGGTGGCGGAGGGCAGCAGGCAGGGGGCAGCAGGCCCTCAGGAGGTAGGGGCAGAAGGGGGAGTGTGCAGCGGGGGCGGGAGGCAGGGACCCGGGGGCCAGCCAGCGGGCAGGCACTCACCTGAGGGCCCCACTGCATGGCTGCCGTCTGAGGCTTCCTGAGGTGCTGAGGGGGCCGCGGGGTCCTGAGACCTGGGAGGCGAGACGGGACGGCCCACGGGGTGCGGCTGCGGAGGCGCTCGAGCCTGAGGGACCCAGGGCCCGGGTCCTCACCTCCCAGCCTCACCTGAGCTGCCGGGCTTCATGGGCGGCAGGGTTGGCTGGGCTCAGGGCCGGGGGCCTGGAGTGAGGCTCCTCCTCCCTGGAGTCCTGGGGGCCAGGTGGGGCACCCCTAGGCACTGGGTCAAAGGTTGCAGTCCAGCCAGGGCCCGGGCCTGGGGAGCCGGGCGGTGAGCGCTGACAGGCAGGGGCCGGTGTGCGCCCCCACCCGACCCTGCACATTCACCCACCTGGAGGCTGTGGGCCAGGGCCAGGGTAAGAGGGGGGCCCGGGCCCCCCAAGAGCCGCCTGGCCATCGCCATCCTCGTCCTCCTCCTCCTCCTCCTCACTGTCCGTGCTGCCCCCACTCCTGTCCAGAGACCACCTGTCAGCTGCGGGGCTGGGATAGAGAGGAAGGCGCCCAGCCCCGCCCTCCCGACCCCCAGGGCTGGCCCCAAAGAAAACGTCTGAGAATCAATCAAAAGATGATGACAAAGGCGGCAGGGGGTTGAGGGGGGGTGAAACCTCCGAGAAAGTCCTGCCTCACCCGGCAGAAGGCAGTGGGAACCACGGCGCAGTGCGGACAGTGCTGTGTGCACAGCAGCTTGCTGCGGCCTCAGGGACTGGACGGTCCCCACCCCGCACGGCAGGGACGGGGGGCGGGGGCTGGCGCGCTTCCTCCGACTACAAACTCGGGTGGACCCTTGCCACCGCCCACCCTCAGCTGAGAGCAACGTCCAACCAGAGTAGCTGCCCCCGAACTTCTGGCTGGAGGCCCGCCACCGCCCTGCGGCCCAGCTGCAGTGACGGGAGAGGAAGACACCTACGTGGCTGCAGACGAACCATGACGCTCAGCTGCCGGGGACAGGAGGGGGCGTCCCGGACCTGACAGGGGCATGCCCATAACCCACAGCCCACACCGCCCCCTGCCTGAGGCCAGGAACGAGATGCGGCCTGCTCGTCCCACTTCTGTTCAAGACCGTACTGGAGGCAGGCAGACATGGGAAGAGAATGAAAGGAAGCAGACAGGCCGGAGGAAGGAGTGAGCCCGCCTCGGGCGGAGGGCGGGACGCTGTGTCCGGGCAGGGGTGGTGCATGGAGAGCTGCTGTTCCGCACACTCAGACAGCCCACATGTCTACACAGCCCTTAGGGATAAACTTACCAAAGGAAGCACAAACCTATATCCTGAAAACGACAAAACACTGCTGAAAGTAAACAACACCTAGCAACTGAAAAGACATCCCACATTCCTGGACGCAGACAACGGCCCGCCGGCGGACCCCAGGCCCACGCAGCACCTTGGGGCTCCAGTGGCTTCTCTGTGAAACTGACAAGTTCATCCTAAAATTCACACAAAATCTCAAAGGACCCCTAGTAGTAGTCAGTGCAATCTTGAAACAACGAAGTTGGAGGACTTAACTCCCCAGTTTCAAAACTTATCACAATGCAACAGTCTTCAAGACTGGGTGGCCGTGCCGTGAAGACAGACAGATGTACAGACCAACAGGAGAGGGACCAGCAACAACTTCACTCGCACAGACGAGGGTGCCGAGACTGTTCCGAGGGGAAAGGACGTGGGGTGCTGGCACAGCGGCATTCCCAAGCGCCCGCAAGCGAAGCTGGCCTCCACCTCACACCCTGTGCAGTAAATCAGCTCAAGAGGACCAAGCCAAACATAGGAGCTATAAAACTCCTGGAAGACCACAGGGGTGAAGCACGGCCTTGATCTTGGCAATGACACCATGTCACAGTACAGCACGCCCCGCGGCCGCCAGCACAGCCACACCTCCCGGAGACACAGGGCCTCAGAGGCAGAAGAAAAGGAGGCAAAATCCCCCGGGCAAGGAGGCAGGGGCGCGCCCTGGGGGTGGCAGGCAGGGGCCCAGGGCTGCAGGGTGGCTCTATGCCCTCGGCCAGGCCCTGGCAACACCGCACACAGGCTTCATGGACTCATCCGCGTGCTTCCTCTGCCTCAGTTTAAAAATGAAAACACTTCCAGTCAGAAGCCAAGGGGCAAAGGCTCACAGCTGCAGGCCCTGAGCGGTTCCGCAGGCGGATCGTGGCACAAGCCCACCACACCGGGGATTCTGGGCCAGTGCTGGAATGTTTGTGCAGAGCTGCTCACAGCTTACTGACATTCAGCCGGGGAGGGGGGATCACCAGCCCTCGTTTCACTGGAATTAGGAGAAAGAGGGCCGACGTGATCATCTTCCCACCTTTTTGGGAACACCTGCAGGGGCGCTACCAGGAAGAGCAGAGCGGAGAGACGGAGGGATGGAAGGGGAGACGCTGGTTCCGGGTGCACCTGGACCAAGTCATGCCTGAAAGGCCCCCGCTCCAGCCCTTATCCTATTCTATCTATAGCTGAACTCACTGAATTTGGGTTCCTAGCACTGAAATTTAAAGTCCTTCAACTCACACACACTATATTCTTATTTTCCTCATTCACCGCGCTGGTGAACCGCCTTGTGGGCCGCAGCCCTGCGGCGTGCTGCAGGGAAGGGGGAGGGGACTCACCGCACACCCGGGGGCTGGCCCAGGCGGGCCCCCCTGGAGAGTGGGCCGCGCCAGGAGCCATCCTCCCCGTCAGACTCCCCGGAGCCCTGGCCCTCCTCCTCCTCCTCCTCCTCTTCGTCAAACTGCTGGATGCGGTCCTTGTAGCATATCTCGAGCAGGTGGGCGTTGGGCTGTGGGTACAGGGGTGGCAAGGCGGGAGAACTGCACCCTTGGCTCCCCACCTCCCGCCCCCATGGGAGCAGGACAACACTCACGTTCTCATCGTCTGCGTTGAGGGAGAAAGTGATGTTGGCGGTCTTGTCGAAAGGTGCACTAGGAGAGGGAGGAGAGGGCGGCACTGGGGGAGGCTGCCCCCTGCGTCTGCGCTCACGCAACGCAGCATTTGCCGTCCACTAGCTGCGGGTCTGCCCAGAATCCGACCAGGCCTCACGGCCACTGCGGATGCTGGCAGGGCAGTGAAAAGTGGGTCACCGGCACCCTTTCCCGGCTGAGTTCCCCACGAGACGCTGTCCTGGATGGAGATGCCCCAGGGGCCTCTGCTGAGTGGGAGCCTTCCACAGCTGGTTGCACAGGAGTGAAGCACACGCCGGCCCTGCCAGCAGGGTGGCCCAGCAAGTCACCTGGCACCTCTGAACCTTGGCCTTCTCTGCTGTGAAGCCAAGGAAGCAGACCCTCCCTGGATGAAATGTTATCAGGGCTTAAGGTTATAATCTAGGTGAGCCACTTGAAGATGGGCACAGAGCTCCCCTAGGAGTGACGGTTCACTGTTCACAGCAACTTCCCCAAAGGCAGCTGCAGCAAAAGGCGCCAAGGGAACGGACACCGCCGAGCAGCACACACCCACTCCCCATTCCTGTGACGCAGCCATACAGCTGCAGTGGAAACCAGGAAACAAAGTTCAGTGAGGCCTTTCCACGGGCCCGCATCTGGGCATGGTGTGGTCTGAGCTAGGCAGGTGAGCGGCTGGCCAGGCAAAGCCCGAATGCTGGCACTGCCACAGCAGAAGCGCTGGGCCTCATGTGGGGACACAGCCCCCAGAGCACCCCCCACCCGCTGCTCAGTCTGGGGCTGGAATCCTGAATCATGGCCAGAACGATCACCACGGGAGCTGAGACAAGCAGCTCCTGGCTGGGTCCCCGGCCTGCCTGCCCCAAGGGTGGGACCGGGCGAAGGGCTTGGCAGGCCAGCGCGCCCCCGCTGACCCCTACCTCCACAGTGCTGTGAGCACCCACCTACCTCCCCCTGGCTCAGTCCTCTCAGCCTCACACAAGTGCAACTCCTGGATAAGGAATCATTCCTAAGTGTTTCAAATACCAGCACAAACTGCCAAAAAGGACTTGTGGCTTTATACTTATCCACCAGCAGCGGAACGCATGACATCCCGGCTCCTTCTGCCGGCACCCTTCGCAAGCCTCTCCTGCCCTGCGCTGTCTGCAGGCTCCACCCTCTGTCCCTGCACTAGGGATGTTTCCCAAGTTACCATCTGTCTCCCAACTCTGAAAACTTTCTGCCATAAGATCAATGTACGAATGTGAGCTAACTGCTGAGTGCTGACCGGCTGCCAAGCACGGACAGATGTCCCCACACGCCACGTTCTCACGACTGCCAGGAAGGTCAGCACTGTCTCCTTCCGGAACATACCCAACCAGCAGGTGCAGCAGCCCAGGGTGGGGAGGGGCTCTGGCAGCCAGCGCCCTGTGGGGCAGCCCCCTGCCTGCTGAGCCTGTGAAAAGATTCCTGTACTCTCCACTCCAGAACACCTCACAGCTCTGGATCTCTTTTCCACTTGAAGCTTAACCCCACTGGAATTTATCTTGGTGGGAGACGTGAGAGCCTCGCACAGGGCAGCCAGGCGTCCCGGTGCCATTCACCGAGCTGTTGGCTGGCCCTTGCTTGGGCGGCCTCCTCGAGAGGGTCTTCTCCAGAGTTCCAGGCCTCTAGCAGTGACCAGCTCTGCTAAGCCTCCATGTGCCTGGCATGTCTCACATCTGCATCCCAGGGGACTTCTGTCAGGCCACAGCAGGACAGGCCACCACTGACTGCAACCCGGCAGGGTGCTCTCACGACCTGGGGTGAATGGCTGTGCCTCGGCTCTCCACTATCAGGGGCCCCGTGCTAAGCAGGAGACAGTCACGGGCATGTGGACACGGTGACACCCAAGAGATCCTGGCAGGTGACGAGCAGATGCGGGCAGGGACCGGTCTCCATGCCCCCAGCCATCCTGCCCCTCCTATCTGCAGGCCCCCCGCTGCCCCTGTGCAGCCGAGAGCTCCCCCCCCCACCTGCCCCAGGACCACCTCCGAGTCCTATGCTCCATGGTGACCCACTTTTCCTTGGGGTATCACGGACTCATCCTTCAGAGGGACCTCCTGCTCAGAAGGCACAGCCGAAGTTCACACACACACCCTTCCCCTGGGGGCCTCTGCAGGGCAGCCTAGCACCCCACCCCCTCCCTCCCCAGGCAGGAACTTGGAAAACGATGGAGGCTCAGAGCCTCCACACCAGAGGTGATGGCTGTTCCGACAGTGTTGCACAGCAGGTACAAGTGAGCAGAAGCAGAGACGGTGAAAAACCCTTGTCGCCCCAGGGCCCCTGGAGCACATGAGCAAGGACCTCACATCCGGCGGATATGACTCTGCAAGCGCCCGTCGGAACTCCAACAAGGCCCAGCTCTGCCCACGGCCAGTCTGTGTCCCAGGGCCCTGTGCAGCCCCCTGCTCTCCTGGCCGGCCGGCCCCTGAGGAAGGTGGGGAGGCCTGCTGCCCTCCAGGCCCCCCACCAGCCACAGCCCCCGCCTCGGAGGGCCACTCACTTCACATTCTCCTCCTGCTCGCCGAATTCCTCGTCGTTGAAGCCGAAGTGGTCAATGAAGGCTGAGGTCATGCGCTGCATCTGGAAGTCCATGAAGGCCTGTGGCGGGGGCCGGGCTGGTCAGGAGCCGGGCGGCCCCCACACAGCCCCTGCCCGCCCGGCAGCCCCCACCTGCTGCAGCACCGCCTCCTCGGGGAAGCTGAACTCCTTGAGCCGGTCGTCCTCGTCGTCGCTGGAGGAGTGCAGGTGGTGGGCGCTCACCTGGGGGCAGGCGGGCAGGGCATGAGGGCTGGCTGGGGCCCCCCGACAAGGATGCAGGCGAGGACAGGACTGGCGGCTGGGGGTGGGGAGGCCGACCGGAGGCTCACCAGGTCCACCATGTTCTTCTTGTTGGTCTCAGCCAGGGGGCCCGACACGAACGCCTCCCACCGCTCCTGCTGCTCTCCCGGCAGCTCTGCCAGTGAGGGGGGACAAGGGCATGAGGCACCTGTGTCCCCTGCTGCCTCCCACCCGCCTCTGCCCCCGGCCCTCACCCTTCAGGAGCTGCCCCAGCTGCTCAGCGTTGGGCCCCTTCTCCGCGTTCTGCACCAGGGCATTGGCCACTCTCGTCAGGTGGCCCATGTAGCCTCTCCGCGGGCCCCCCACAGACCTGAGGAGAGAGCGGGGCTGCAGCTGGAGGCAGGCGTGCCCCCAGGGCAGGCCAAGGGTTGGGGGAACTCACTGTGTGCGGTCGTTCTCCTCCCAGGATGTCAGGATGCGCTCCACTAGTCGGCACTGCTGCAGCAGCTGTGGGTCGCAGGCAGGCTGTCAGCGGCGCGCTGCACTGGCCCCAGGCCCCAGCTCGGCCTGGCAGCCATGCCCGCCTGCCCCCGTGCTGCCCACTCTGCTCCTGTCCTCTGCGACGTCCCTGTCCACCCCCCACCCCCTCCGGCTTGTCCAAATCCAACACCCACTAGGAGCAGCTCCTCCCTGAGGTGCCGTGACCCTCCAGAGAGGCTGTCACCCGGACCTTCCCTCTGTCCCTCAGGACACCTGGTGTGCCAAGGTCACCCCGCATGTCACCCCATTTCTCCCAGACACACCCCAAGAACAAGCCCCTGGTGCCTGGTATGTGAAGTTGCCCAGCAGGCCTGGCTGCAGGCCTGGCGCGGGGCAGACCTGAGACAGAGCCCACCCACAGGCCTTGAGGGGGGCCTGGGAGCCCCAGCTCACGTGTTTCACGACGGCGTTCGGGGCAGATGTCTCCGGATTGCTGTCAGAAGGGGGCCCGGCACTCAGCAGGGCGCTCACGCACACCTCCACTTGGGTGTGCAAGAAGTTGTTGAACACGTAGTGGAAGAAGAGGTCCTGGTGGGGGAGCAATAGCTGGCACCAAGACCCCCATCCCACCGGACCCCTGCCCCCACCCTCATACCAGCATGGTGTTGGGCACGTCCAGAGCCAGCAGCTCCTGGGTCAGGGCCACGTCGTTGGCGCTTAGGGCGCTGGCCAGCAGCTTTACCACGTGCAGCCGTGTGTTGCCCAGAGGTGGGGCCAGGCTGCCCCACGTTGTGCGCAGAGGCTCCTGCTGCAGGCACAGAGGAGGCTTGGTCCCAGCCCAGAGCAGCTGCCCTCCCTGCCCACCCCCTCCCTGGCCTGCACACCTACCTCTGGGGGCTCAAGCAGGAGCTGGCGGAAGTGACTGAGCCTCGGGCGCAGGGCATGCAGGGCACCCACGCTGGACACGGTGCTGTCCAGGGTCCCCTGGGCCAGGAGCTCCAGCTGCCCATCCACGCTGCTGAAGAAGTTGTTCACGGTCACAGACTCAGGCCTGCATCAGGGAACAGGAGTCCGTGAGCCATGCAGACGGCCCACAGGAGCATGGGGTGTGCGCACATGCAGCACCTCTGGGGGGGCGAGAAGCTGCTCCCTCGGAACCCATCCATCCAGGACTCAGGAGGCAGAGACAGGGAGGGAGGCATCGGGGTGGGAGTGGGCGCCTGCAGGTCCCACTACGTCGCAGGGAGTGGGGTGCCCACAGGGCCCTGATTCCGATGGACAGTTTCCTTGGCTGTCAGATGCTAACAGGAGGGCTCCTTTCCCTCACCTTGGCCTCCTGGGCTCCAGCAGCGTGAGCAGCACCTGGACCCCGCTCACGATGACCGACTGGCTCTGCTCCCCCTCCAGCATGTTGCTCAAGAGCTGCTCGATCGTCTCCTGCCTGGGACACGGTGGCCGGGGAGGGCAGTGAAGCGCCTGGACCCGGGACCCAGGTGGCCCCCCAGCCCGGCACCCCCGCAGACCCACTTCTCCAGAGTAGCCAGCAGCTGGTCGGGCTCCGGGCTGTCCTGGGCTTGGCTCATCTGCTCCCGGCTCAGGCGGATGATGTCGCAAAGGGACTGGGACGCATTGGAATGTTGCTGGGGGGGCAGAGAGGGGGCTGAGGCCCCAGCCCAGCTGCTGGGCCCTTGGCGGCCTGGTGTCAGAGCACCCCCCCCGCCCTCTGGGACAGGGGAGGAGAGTCTCATGGACACACAGACACAGTGCTGGGTGGGGGGGGGAGAGGAAGTGAGCACAGACACTGGAGAGGAGAAAGAGGGAATTAAGGAAGGCTTCCTGAAGAGAGGCCCTTCCAAGCATCCAGTGGGGGACAGCCCAGGTGGCCCCTGACCAGGGGGAAGATAATCACCCATGGTCTGCCCACACGGCGGGCACTCCTCAGCCTTAGGGATGAGGTGCCAACAGGCTATGATGTGGAAAGAAACAGAAAACTTGGTGCTAAGGCCGAGAGACCAGGCACGGAAGACCACGTGTTGCACGGTGCCATTTATGAAAATGTCCAGAAGGGGCACACCCGGAGACAGCAGACCACGGCCACCAGGGCTGGGGTTGCTGAGGGGCACAGACTTCCCTTCTGGGATGATGAAAAGTGTCCCCACAGTGAGGCAGTGACGGCTCCACCACAACTACAGAATTCTCTATTCTGAGCAGTGAGCGTGTGGCACCTGAGTCACAGCTCAACAAAGCTGCTAAGAAACGGACACAGGGGCACATGAGCAGAACTCTGGGCCTGATTCCACAGGCAGCTAGCTGGGCCCACCGCCTGGACCCCGGACCCATCCAGAGCATGGCCCAACTTCAGAGATGCCCACAGGTGCCCTCATCCCTTGGCCATGAAGGCCTGGATATCGTTACCCTCCCGGGACGGCACTGGCTAAATGCCTAGGGTGGCCACCTATACTGTGCACTCCTGCTCCACAGCCAGGAGGCCAGGACAGACAAGGCCCGGCCCACAGCTGAGGGACTCTGTGTAAGATGAGCAAGGCCTGCCCAGGGACAAGAGCAAGGAAGAGCCACAGGGGGCCCCCAGAAGGCGGCCATGAGGGGGCCAGGGCAGAGCCTGGAGTCAGAGGACCCTCATCAACCTGCCCCAAGGGGTGACGGACCGAGTTCCTGGTTCGTGAGGAACATCCCATGTGGGTGACACCCCTTTTCTCTCAGCAGGCGCCCCCCTCAGTGACTGGGAGGGCACACACACACGGCCCCAAATGCTCCCTCTTCCCATCAGTTCACCTTCTCGGATGGGCAGGGTGGGACAAAGCGGGTGGGGAACAGACTAGAGGGCGACCAGGTCGGCCGGGGACAGCAGGCGGCAGGGGGCTCACATTGTCATCTTTTGATGGATGGATCTGCTCGATGAGCCGCTGGACAATCTTCTCCTCGTTGAGCCACTGGGGCAAGAACCACCAGGCGTGAGGTGGGGGGGCCGCACCCACCAAGGGCCCCCACCCCCAGCCTCCGCCCTGTGCTCACATTGACCACGTCCTGCCGCAGCTGCGGCCGCTCCACGCAGGTGAGGAGGCGCAGCAGGAGGTCCATGACGGCCGAGGTGCCGATGTGCCGCAGCAGCAGGTCCACAAAGTCGTCCTTCTTCCGCAGGAAGGACACGAGCTGGGGGACACAGCTGTCAGAAGGCAGGACACCAACCACACTGCCCACCCCCGCGGGCCCAGGGGCAGTGGGTACCTGGTCTGTCTTGCGGTTGATGAGGATGCCCATGACTTTGCTGAAGAAGCTGGCCAGCAGTGGATTGAGGCTGCCGCTGCTCTGCAGGAAACCGTAGAGCCGGTTCAGGAGGGACTCGTCTGCGCCCAGCGCATCATTGATCTGGGGCACATCCGATGTCAGGATCTCGCAAGCCACGCTTGGGTACCTGAGGGGGTGGGGGCTGTCACATTCAGGAAGGGCGAGCCCACGGGGGCCAGAGGTTCTTGCCTCCCACCGCCCCCAAGGCCAATACCTCTCCTGAGCCTCCACTGGCCCCACCTCCCCTTCTCCCTTTTCCCAGGCTGTATCAAACCCACCCTGGTGATCTAGAGGTTGACCTTCCTAAAATCCAACTCACCCCCTGCCTCCTCCTCCCCACGTCCAGCAGCCGCCCTACCCAGCATGCCACTGGGGCTCCAGGGAACCACAACCTGCCCCAGGCCTGCCCCCTGAACTGTGGGAGCCCCGATGTGCCTCTTCCCCTGGAAACTGGGTTCCTCGAGACTGGGTAGAGACCCAGAGGTCCCCAGGCACAGGTGTCAAACAGGAGACTCCTCAGTGCCTCCCTAGGGGGAGAGCCCAGTCCACAGGGCTGCTGGACGTGCTTGAGGGTGGTGGCGGTGGGGGAGAGCCAAGGAGGACAAGACACATGTGCACACATGGGGGCGCTCATCTGAGGGACAAGCTCCAGGGGTCACAGGCACGCTGCGGGCCCGGCTGGGTCCCCACTGCACACCAGGTCCCTTGCTAAGCAGCCAGCATCCACCTCAGTGAACCCCCACTTGACCAGCCCAAGCTGAGGAGCAGCCCTCAGCCCCTGCCAGGAGAGGACACGCACAGCGTGGCGAGGGCCCTGCAGCTGCAGCTGGCTGCTGCACCCCTGCTCCTGGCTGCACAGGGAGTCTGCTGAACATCCGGTGGGCCCCCTCCCCACCGCCTCTGAATTCTGTCTAGAAAACCCCCTAGAACAGAGGCCCTTACAAGCTGTCCCGGCTGCTACTGGGCACTCGGTTTCCTCACTGCCCTGGGAGGCACTGGGGACACAAGGGCCCGGGGCTCACTTGTAGCGCAGCCGCTCCTCGCCGCTGGTCGGTGGCTCCTGGGTGACCCAGGCCACCATGGCCTCCAGGTGTGGTGGCTGCAGCAGGAAGTCCAGCAGCTTGCGGTTGACGACCTTGCACTCCTGCAGCACGTCCTCCTCGTCCAGCAGCTCGGGCAAGCTCAGGTCCTCCCGCTCCAGCAGCGTGTCCAGGTGCGAGCTCGTGTGCAGGTCAAACTTCCAAAACATGGCGCCCTGCAGGCAGAGCCAGTCACCCACAGGGCTCCACAGGGCCCTCCCCCTCGACCCCACGGCCACCTCTTGCACGGATGACTACAACACCCCTGCAACGGCTGTGACGGCACATGTGAGGCTGACTGTCCTGCCCACTTCTGGGCCCCCAAGCCCAGTAACATCCCCTGGCATGGACTGTGCACAGGAAGGCCTGTGTCCGCTATCCCCACATCTCAGTGACCCCTGGAGTGGAGCTGGCACCGTGCTCCTGTAGCCTCAGCCTCTCGCATCGGCCTTGCTTCAACCTTATTTGCCGAGTGAATTCAGAGGCCCCGAATTTGCTCGAGTTGGCTGCTGTTACCCCAGCCAATCACGGCACCACGTGCAGGGTGTGGGGCCGAGAGGGAAGTGTGCAACGCCTCCAGGGTGTGGCCGTTGCCTGGACACTACACATACACACACACATCCACCCAACCCCCATTCCCCACCCAGTGCCTGGGACAGAGAAGTCGGGGGTGGGGGCGGGGGGTTCAGCTCCCGGAACAGCCACCTACCATGGCCCAAGGGTGACCGAGGCAGGGCGGCCACATTGGCTGGGGGCAACCAGCTCCCCAGCCTGCATGGAGACCCTGCATGCCCGGCCCAGGCAGCCAGAAGGCACCAGGGGACACTCAAACAGAGAGACTCATCTGCTCCTCTGAGGTCTACAGGCTCCCGGGCCAGACTACCTGCCCCACACTCACTGCCCAGCTCCTGGGCTCAGCGTCACCCCTAGCCAGTGTGTGCCCCGCGCTGTGCCCACATTCCCCTCCGAGGGGCCGTCGTCACACCACCGCATGGCAGGCATCTCGCGCCCTGGTAACCTGGTGGGGGGTCTCCCAGCCCTGCACAGGCGCTGACCGGAGCTCACACTCGTCTGTCTTGTGAAGACCACCCAAGGCACAGGCCACTGAGGCAGGCTGAGAGGCCAGGCCAGCCTCCTGGGCGCCTCCCTGACTTCAGACAGGCCAGCCGCTCTCCTACCCATCTGCCCCGTGCCACTCTGCCCACAGAGAGCACTTCAGCCGGAGGGAGCACTAGCCCAGGGAGAAGCTCTCTGCCCCGGGAGGTGCGGGCCTGGGAACTGGGTAGGGCCAGGCAGCATGTGGGCCTCGGGCAGGCGACTGGCCTTCAAAGGCCCAGCCCATTCACAACTCGGCCACTGGCGCCCACTTCTCCCTTCTGGGCTCACAGGAACCTCCTTAGCTCCAAGAGTCCTCCCCACTCCACTGGCCTCCCACCACCACCGGGACAAAGTGACTCTGAGTCCACAGCCACCCTGTTGGGCCTGTCAGCTCCAAGGACCTGTGGATGGAGCAGAGGGGACAGTCCCAACCCTGAGGGCAGCAGCGGATACCAGGCCCCAGACAGGCCCCTGTTCAGGCCACTTTTCCAAACACAGACTGCAACCAGACTGGAGTGCCTGGCGTTTGTTCTGGCGGCCCTACCACGCAGCCTCCCTCCCGTCCCAGGCCTGCCTGGGTCTGTGCACCAGATTCTTTCGTGTCCCCACAGCCAGCGGGTTCTGCACTGCCTTTCCCAGTCCCAAGCCAGCTGCAGCCTGGCCCCTCTCACGTGGTCCTGGGGCTGCCACTTAAGGGTTCATCTCCTTGCAGCCCACAGCCCCCGAGAAGGCCCCTCGGGTCCTCCCTGTCCAGACCCAGGCTCTGCAGAACCTCCCTCCAAGATACAACTAAAACCCACCCCTCTACACCTGCATGACAACCACCTGACCAGCCCCTTGTCTTGCTAGCCTCCCCTGTACCTGTCTGCACCCTACTCCACAGGCAGCCAGCCAGGCTGGACCTGCTGAAATGAAGACATGGCCACATGCCATCTGCGCTCAGGACCCCAAGGGCCCCCATGACTCTCAAATAATACCCTAAGCCAACGCCGGACGACAGGTCCCTCACGCAGCTCCCCACCTGCTGCGGCCACGCCCGCCTGTCTCCAGAACATGCCCAGCCCGGGCTCCTCAGAGGCTCTGCTCTTGGGGCCTCGCCTGCCTCCTCCTCACCTGTCAGGCCTCCTGCCAGGCATGTCCCCCCAGGGGAGCCGAAGCAGTCCAGGCCCACTCTGTCCACAGGCTCTGACGTGTGTCCTGACCTGTCCGCATTCATGCTGTCACACACACAATGTGCGTGCGTCATACATGCCCTGGCTGGGTGGCAGACAACACAGGGCACCTTCTGCACTAGGCTGCCACAGGCACCTGGGACAGCATCTAACACAGAGCTGGCACCAACATGTGCTCAGAAGTGGGCTGGAGGACACCCTGTCTCTGGACCACCATGTTCTCACGAGGCCCTGCGCTCCAAGGCTGGTATACCTCCAGAGCACTGGTTGCAGGGGTCCTCCCACAAGTCCCCACCCCAGCCATCCTTAGGGCTCCCTACACCAGTCACAAGGAGGGCACAGGGAGACCCCCTGTGCAGGAGGGCAAGGGGTTGGAACCAGGTGCTGAGCGTGGCCCCCATCAGGGTGGGTACTGCCTTGGGAGAAAATCAGCACCCGCCCTGCAAGTGTTTAACGACCTGCCTTTGCGCCCAGACCCTGGGCCTCCCTTCCACTGTCCCCCTCACCTGATGAGGACTATGACAGGACCAGTGGCCCAGCGGAGAAAGTTGAGGCTCAGCAGGATGACTCCCCAGCCCCAGGGCACTGAGGGCCGGGCACAGGCAGATTTCCTGAGCTGGGTGGACCTGGGACCAGAATCACCTCAAGGGGCTGCTGCCCCGCAGGCCATGAAAGTCAAGGAGCCGACGTGCGGAGACACTAGCTTTCCATGTGGGAGGCTTCCATGTGCAATAAGGAGACCTGAGAGGCCCAAGGCTGCCTAAGCGAGGTCACCTAGGCCAGTCACCAGGGACCACACTGTCTGACTACATGTGTACCAAGTGCCCGGGAGAAGCGGTTCCAGGGGGGAAGGCGGATCGCTGGTTTTCAGGAGCTGGGGGAGAAAGGGAAGGAAATGACTGCCAATGCATACAGTTTCCGTTCAGGAAAACATTCTAAAAAACCTAGAAATCGTTCTAAAATTGATTATGTGCAGGAGTTGAACTGTGCATGTTCCACGGACAAGCCATACGGTTGTGACTTGACAACACAAACCGTCACCACAACCAAAACAAGAGCTGCCCGAGGCCGTGGCTGGGCAGGGCCAGGCCGCGCTCTGCACAAGTCCCCTGACCCAACAAGACCTGGCCGCTTGAGGGGCCAGGGCCGATGAGGGCTGTGCCCTGGGGAGCACACAGGGCCCCCCGCCCTTGCCCCACAGTCCTGGAGCTCAGCGATGGGCAGGGCCCAGCTGACACCTTCAGAGAACCTATACCCGCACCTGGCACTTGCCGTCTTCTCGTCAGAGGAGGGAAGCCCAGCTGACTATTCCCATTCGATAGATGTGGCACCGGGGGCCATGGGCAGAGCCACGGCCACACAAAGAGGCCGCACGAGGGCCCTGCCTGCCTGCCCTCCTGACTAGAGACAGCACTTCTCAACGCTGCGGCCTGCCCACCCACTTCCAAAGCACCTGGTCAGAAGGCTCCGGCTGCAGGCCCCACCCGCAAAACCCTCCAGTTACAACCTCCCCACCTGCTTTGGACAGCAGGTCAGACTTCCGGCCCAAAGCTGGCTTTCCAGAGAACTGGGGTGGGAGCCACCATGAGACAGGATGGTACGGGGTGGCGTGGGCCGGGGACCCCGGGGCCTCAGAGCCCAGGCCGCTCCCCCGACAAGCAGAGGAGACTGGGAGCATCAGATGCAATCAAGTGGTAGTCGGTACCCTGCAAACACTTCTCAAGCTCTATGCAGAGATGCAAACATAAGAGAATTGGAAAAAAGAAACCACGAAAGAGGGAAAAAGAAAAGAAAAAAACTTCCCCAGCCACAAACTCTCAATTCACTCCAGTCTCAAATCCTGACAGTCAACCCCACCTTCCCACCTAATGGAACCTGCCAGAAGCCCTGGGAATTGGACAACAGAAGTGGCTCCATTCTCACTCTCTAACGGGGTGGGCCTGGGCCAGGCACCTGGCACCCCTGAGCCTCATTCCCTCTTCTGTGAAAGGGGCACAGCTAGGGGAGGGCCATGTGAGGACAGCCAGGTGGTCCTGACGCAGCAGGCGCCTGGTGGGCATTGGCCCCTTCCCGTCTGTCTGAGGCCATGCTGAAGCCTGGACATGGCTAGCAGGAGGCAAGGAGCCGGCCACTACCGGGGGGTGACTCTACTGAAAACGGAAGACCCAAGACCGAGAAAGCCTCTCCATCTGCCTGAGTGACCCAGGTCATTCAAATACTCAGGCAGGCGCCATACACCCAGCCACCCACCCGCTACAACTCTCAGCAAACTTCAAGAAAACGGAAGTGGCTACCACGGGTTCTAGCGACCGTTTGAAAACCATGACTCTGGCTGCAAACGGAAGAAGGGGAAACTGTAAATGAGAAAGGAAGCCATTAAGAACGAAAACTACCTCCCCCTGCACTGCTGGGCACCGTTGCCTCGGGTCGCCTGCTTTGCCGTGGCTCTCATGCCGCTGGGAGCACCTGCCCCTAGCCCTGCCCAGGCCAGACAGGGCCTGACTGCAGGGCCCACAAAGCTGTCCACACTGTCGCTGCTGCCACCACCATCTGTCCCTTATCTTCCACCCCTTCCTCGTGCCCTGGCCCCAAAGCACCCGGAAGTGGAGGTCAAGGGTGCAGAGGCCTCTGGGAGGGCCTCCGGGTGGCCACCTGAGCTGCCCTGCAGCTCAGCAGAGGCTCCCACATCCGGGAGAGGCCATCTCAGGCCTGCAGATGATTCCACCCTCTGCCGTACAGGCCACCCTAATGAGACACAGGCTGGGGAAGCCCCAGGAGCGGGGAGAACCCACTACCAGAGGCTGGCCCCAGGCCTGTGCAAGGCCCAGCAGGTCAGACAGCAAGACCACCCCCCCCTCTGACTCCCTTCAGCCCAGTCAGCTCCAGGCCAAATCTGGGAAGGGGGTGGGCACTTCTGATTCCAAAGACTGGACTACGGTAACGGCGGCCCCATAACCCCTGAGCAGGAGCCGGTGTGCAGGAGGCAGACCCCAGCACAAGCTCACCAGCAAGGGAGGTGGCGGCTGACCTGTCTGGGGGAAGAGAGGGACCCGGCCAAGGCCACACAGGATGGCGAGCTGAGGCCTTCCCGGGGCTCAGGGAAGCCTCAGGGTGGTCCTCAGTTAGAGCACATCCCAGGCCCATCCGCACTGACCCCAGACCACACTGTCCCAGAGAAGGCGGCAGCTCTGGTCCAACCCCAGGGGATGGAGCTGGATCAAGAAATGAGACTGCACCAGGACGGAGGAGGCGCCTCAATGCTCACATTCAGGACTATCTCCTGGGTCAGTCACAGGTTCAAAGAGAAAAAAGGAAAGAATGAACAGATTTTGAAAGAGTCCTTGGAAAAGAGTGGGACAGAGTGAGTGTTACAGGCCCAGGTTCTAGTCTCGTTTCTCCAAACTTAAAAGTCTCTGTGGCCTTAAACGAGGGGCCCACCCCTGCTGAGCCTCCGTGCCTCCCGAGGGACAACTCATGGGCACTGAAGACTGTAATTCCCATAGGAAGACCCCTAACACCTGAGCTCCAAGGGGAAACCCTGGCTGGGCCTGTAAAGGAGGGCGTGTCCCCACCCCCCCAGAAGCTGCGCCTGTCCTAGAGGCCCGGCAGCCGGAAGGCTCCTCATTCTCACCGAGGCTTCCAGGCCTCTCTCACCTCATCTCCTGCTGCAACCCGCATGTCGCTCAACACTCCCGCCACACCTGACTGCTGTGGGCACCCTGGCCTCTGCCCCGGCTGGCTGCCCCTCTGCCTTCCCTCCAGCTCTTTGAAACTGACTAGCTCCTCCTGGGTCCTTCAGGCTTCAGCGCAGACACCACTTCCTCCAGGAAGCCTCCCTGACTGCGCGGGGGCGCCTGCCCAGACACTTCCACAGTCACCCTATGACAGCATTTGAGCACTCTGTGACAAGATCTGCCTGTTCCGTCACCTGCCTCCTCCTGCATGACACTGATTTACCAGGACCCAGTGTAAGGCCAGACCCACAGCAAGATACTTCTGGAATTAATAAAAACTGAAGTCCAGAGGAGTAAGGTGACCTGCTAAGGGCATTTGGACATAGATCCAGAAAGAGTTACTGGGGGTGGGGTGGGGGTGGACAAGCAGTTTCTCCTCTAATGGAAAGAGCAGACATCCAAAGACATGAAAATAAATTAAAATAGACAACTGAGAACACACAGCCGCTCATGTGCAGCAACAAAGGCAAGCCAAAGCTCCCGGTGCCACCCAGGCGAGAACAGGCTTTCTCCCCAGCAGCACCACTGACCTGTGGGGGCTGCGAGTTGGGGCAGCACTCGTGGCTTCTACCCACCACAAGTCGGTGGCACTGGGAGTGGCCCCCATTGAGAACCACCGTCATTAGGGAATCCCAAACCAAGTCCTCCTAAAAGCTACTGACTCTGGGCACTTCCTGCACTTGGCCTTCTGCCACAGGCTTCTACCAACGGCACAGGACACCCCAGAGCTGGCCACAGCGAGAGCAGCCACGGTGCCCCTTCACAGCCCACTGAAGTCTCTACGATCCTCAACCTCTGACTACACCTGACCACGTCTTGCTTTTCAGCCTGGTGGTAATGGTAAGATCCGTGTAAGGTGTGTAAGAGAGTAAGTGCAACTGTCACCAGAAGGTCACGTTCAAGGCTCTAAACCAGCAGTCCCATGCTCCCAACACATCTGCACCCCCCAGCCGGGGCGCGCACACCGCCCCTGGGTGCCCACGTTCACACATCTGCACATGCTGTTCCTTCCACCCGGCACGCCCTTCTTTCCCCTCTCCATCTGTCAACTTCGGGACAGAAAAAGCCACCCGCTGGGATGTCTCCACAGCCCGTGTGCTGTGTGCCCTGTTACCTCTATCGCAACACCAGTAACTGTGACTGCCCCAGCCTCTGTCTCTCCGGGGCTGGCCCCCCTCCCTCAGGGCCCAGCTCAGGTGCCCTGCAGGCCTCAGCTCACAGAGGCAGGACCCCTGCAGCTGCCCCACTGAGTCTGGCTCCCACGGCCCTCCACACAAGCAGGCAGAACTCGGGGCAGGAGAGGAGTGGTCAGGGTGAAGGGAAAGGCCCTCCTCTCCTCCACGCACCCGGAGCCCAAGGGGGAGAGGGGGTGAGGCACAGGGAGGGGGAGGGGGGAGGGGTGTCAGGGGAATGGTCTGAAGAGGAAGGACGAGGGTGTTGGAGAAGGGGTGCACCGGAGGAGTAGGAGAGGGCTGGGGGCAGGGCTCAGACTAGAGGGAAGGGGCGCCCAAGCGCGGGGCAGGGTGGGCAGGAACCTCGCGGGATGGCACCAGGAGACTTGAGGCAGTGAGAATGGGCCTGAAAGGGGACGCGGAAGGGGTGGGAGTGGGCTTGGGGGAGAAATTAGAGACTGATAGGTCGAACTAGAGAGAATGAGAAACTGGGGGACTTATGGGGAGGAGCCTGAGGGACGTGGGGGGATGAGGGGAGGAGCCTGGCGGCCTGAGGGGAGGAGCCCGAGGGACTGGGGAGCCGAGGGGAGGAGCCCGGGGCAGGCGACCGCAGGGAGGAGGGAACAGAGGGGCACCGCGACGGGGCTCTGGGGCACCCGGGGGCTGGGGGGAAACCCGTGCCTGGCCTGGGGGAAGGTCCCGGGGGCGCTCACCTGCGCGGGGGGGCGGCGGCTCCTCGCACTCGGGGCTCATCGGGGCGCCCCCCCCCCCGCCCCGCCGCCCGCGGCTCCGGCCCCTGCTCAGGGGCCCGGTATATGGGGGCGGGGGCGGCCGCGGGGTCTTGCGAGGGCGCCCTCGGGCCTAAGGGGGCCCTTGCGTGCCGAGCGACAGAGTCCGGGGTCGGCAACGGCAGGGCGAGGGCGGGAGTCCGCGTCCCGCCGGCGAGGTGGGCTCGAACCGCGACCGGGAACGGGAGAAGTTAGCGGGGTCGCGAGGCCCGCGCAGGCCCCCGGGGGGGAAGTCGCCCCGTCTCCCGGCCCGGCACAACGCGCCGCGGGAAGGCAGAGGGCGGTAAGGGAAGGCGTCCTTCGCAGTCTAAGCAGGCCGCGGAGCTGAGCAGTGACCGATGGAAGCCGAGGCCCAGTTCCTCCGGCGCCCGCTTCTCCACAGCGGCCGGGTCTCCCAGCTCGGCCGTCCGCTTCAGGGCCTCCGACGCCCGGCTCCGTCCGCCACGATCCCACAATCCCCCTAGCGCACGAGCACGACGCAGGCCCCGCCCTCCCGCCGCCGTCTCTGTGCGCAGGTGCAGGAGGGAGTGTCCCCGGGCCCCGAAGTGCGCTTGCGCGCTGGGCCCGGCCGCTCCCAGCAGAGCACCTCTGCCGCAGATTCACTTGCACCGGTTTGTGCCGTCTGTCTCCCCGAATAAATCCAGAGACGCAATGCGCAGGCGCCACAACACACCCGGTAGCGTTTCTCCACGACTCCGTTCCAACATCCAGAGAAACCCCTGCTCCAGGATTGCCTTCCCACTCGCTCCTTTCGCAAATCCATTCGCTGTTCTCTCCTCCAGTCATCTTCGCGCTTTGGCTCCAGGACCGAGCTCCTGCAAACCCACCCCGAGTTCTCTCTCCATCCAAGGCCAGGGCTTTGGGCCCGCCGGGACAACTGTCGTCTGTTTCTCGCGCCCCAGCCTGACTTCAGTCCCGTCTCTAAACCTTCACGCGGGCCTTTGCCAGTTGATGCAGAGTCCAGGTCGGACGAGCCTCAGGGAGGCTGCCCGCAAAAGAACCTGGGGTCGCGTCCACGGAATGCCACTAACCAAGAGGGCTCCTCCTCTCCTGTCATTTCTGAAAACTTGGTCCTGAGACTTGAAAGTGGCTTCCCAAGTCAGGGGTCCCCAGACCTCAACCAGGCAAAGACCCACAAAATCAGGAGTCTCCGTACACTGCCAACATCTCTACGTCGACTTTCAAACGACTGAGCACTGCTCATCCATATGCACGAAGGCTGTGCCTTCCTTTCCCAGGTGGCAAGGACGCTGGGATATGTCCCCAGGAGGCCTGGTTCCCCTGTCCCAGTGAGCCTGGCCAGTTCTCACGCGCAGGATAAGCGTAGCTTCCCAAAGGCACGTTAACAAGGTTAATGAGCAGCCACTGCCTTGACATATGGAGCGTGGACACTTAGGAGTCCTGGGCAGCCAAGACAGGTGGAGCCACTAAATCATTCACCCCCCCGAGCCCCATACAGACACACAGAGGCCGCTTCTGCAAGATGGGTCTCTACCGTCCCACTGAACTTCATGCTAACCTCTCTCCTGTCCCTGAGAGGCGTCCTTTCGCCATCTCTCTCCTCGCACACCACTTCTGTTTAAGTACCCCAAAGGCTGAAGTATGAGAGTAGGCCTCCTCCCCTTCTTAACCCAGACCTTCCCCTCACAAGTTGGGGTATTCCAGATCTGAGAGTACTTCCCTGCTCCAACAGAGTCAGTCCTCTGGTGCTTTTGCTGCTGGGTCCCCCGATTAGAAAATACACCACGGCAAGAGGTGAGGAGAAAGCCATTCTGCGAACTCAACAGCTGAGTAGACCCCTTTAAAGGACAGTCATTCCTCAACTGTCTAAGTCAGGATCTCTAACATTAGTTATGCTAGAAATGATAAAATACATACAAATGGTAGGACTCTATATACTTAAACTACAGGCATTTAACATCTATTAAACCTTTGGTTTACTCAACCCATCTCTTCTGCATCCAGTCATTTTTTGGGCATCTAGTAATTACCAAAACTGAAAAGTAAAGCAAGGTTTCTCATGAGCAGCCAGGAAAAGGAAAGGACACAGTAGCTCTGGGCTTTAGAGAGCAGCGCTTTCATTATTCCCAGGCTCTGCCTGCTGCTGTACCCTCCGTGGCTCTGCAGGTCCCTGGAGATCGGGCCCCTCCTCCCCTCCCAGGGACGTGACAAAGGCGGCAGTAAAGGAGGAGAAGAAACACCTTTATTGGAAGAGCAGTGGACACAGGAGGGGAAGTGGAGAGCATGGGAGGTGGGGTCCAAGGAGCATGTGCCTTTCCCAGGGCCCCCTGGGGGCTGAACACAGACACGCTGGCATGCCCAGGCCTGGCACCATCAATACCCTGCTCCCCTCAGAGAGAGGGCCTCGTGGGAGGGAGGGAGGCAGGAAGCCTGGGATTTCCTCGGAGAGGCGGGAAGCCACTGTTTCACCGATCCATGCTGTCGTCCGTCGGGCTGGAGAAACAGGTCTGTAGCAGCTTTTCACAGAACTCCAGCTCCTCCTGGATTGGGAGCCAAGTGGGAGTCCTGAGTGCCAGCCCCTGCCTCTGGCATACTCTGCACCTGGAGACACCCTGGAATGGCTCCTCTTCCCTCCCAGCTGCCCACGCCAGAAGCCTCCCAGGGTTCCCCGACCTCTGCTCAGATCCCTGACTATACTGCCAACCTGGGGTCTCCCAGCTTCCTGCCATACCCCACTGGCCTGTCCTCGCATCAGCCCCTTTGAGCAATCTCTAACTCCAGATAGAACCAACCTCTGCTCATCCGCACCTAAAACCCGTTCCCCAGATACAAGCCCCAGAAGCCAAAAAATAGGCACTGATAGGTTGGACTGCATGAACGTGAAAGGTATCTGCATGGCCAGAGATGCCAGAAACGAAAAACAATTTGGGGTGAAAAATATTTATGACTCATCACAAAGGGCTAATGTATTTAATACATCAAGAGCTTTAGTAAATCAATTGCAAAACACACCACCCAATAGACAGATAGGCAAAGGATAGGATAAGCAGCTCTTAAGAAAGAACACAGTGCCCAACTTCACTCATGGGACAAATGCACATGTAAATGGGACTGGAATACTATTTTTCACCCATCAGCTTGGCAAAAAGTCAAAGGGCTTGAGGCACCCTGTCCTGGCCAGGATGTGGAAAGTAGGGCACCCGTGTAGCTGGGCTCAACCAGTTCAACCTCTATGGCCACAACTGACAGAACAGCCCCCAGCCCAGGGGCCTGATGTTCAGCCTGCCTTAGCCCAGCCTTGCCCTTCGTGGAAACTGTTCTATGCGTGTGCCCACGCACATGAAGTGATCTATGTAGGAGGTCATGCTTTCAGCAGAACCGGCAGTGGTGAGAGAGCAGCAACACCTGCATGTCCCTCGGGTGGGGCTGTTCCTCAGGAACCGAGCCTGCCATGCAGCACTGAAAGGAAGAGGCGTGCGCCATGAGCCCCAACACGCAATGGGGCACACTGCTCCCAGAGGCGGAAGTTACGGAAGGGAACAAGGCAAAGAGCAGAACGGTGGTCAAGACAGCTGATTTTGCACAAAATGGAGGAGAGAATTTATGTGCACACTTGCTCGTAGGTGCACAGAATACCTCAGGAGGGCCACACGAGGAACTGGCAGAGGTACTGGCTGGCCAGGGACTGGTAGGAGGGAGATTTTCAGTGTTTACCCTCCTGTGCTTCTTGAGTTTGAACCGAGTGATGAGACCAATTCAAAAAGATGAGTTAAATTTAACTACCCAGGGCACACAGAAGCACCTACAAAAGAGGGCTAGCTAATTCCCCATGACTGCCTTGCAGAATACAATGTCACCGAAATGAAAGCAGACCTCTGCTCATGTATCTGGAAGGATTTCCGAGACAGAGCCACACACACACGCAGGGGAGCAGCCATGTGAGAACGGAGCCAGGGACTGCGTGACCACCTACAAGCCAAGCAATGCCAGGGAGGACCTGAAGCTGGAAGGGGCGAGGCAGGATTCTTCCTGGGAGACTCCAGCCAGGGGTGTGGCCCTGCCACCCTGACTTCAGACTTCCAGTCCCCAGAACCGCGAGAATAAATGTGTTATGCCCCCAAGTCTGTGGTCTCTGTTCGAGCAGCCCAGGAAGCCGATGCCCACCCTACGTAATGTGTCCGCCCATCTGCTCTACCCCCTTGTGGGTTTCACTTCTCTTTGCTGCAGTTTTATCCCTGACGTCATATTATGTATACCATATACCAGTATGTGTGAGACTGCGTACTTACTTACATGTATTCCATATATTCCATACAAACACATGGTACGTGTGTATGCATGTGTAAATGTGTATCTGTGTGTGTGTTTGCCTACCTGTTTATCTGTTTATAGACCCCACAGATATGAGGCTATCTCCTTTGCTCCTCACCAAACCCCCAGCACCCAGGTCGGGGCCCAGCACGTGGCTGAGACGCCCCTGATGGACAGAGGGCGGGAGACTGAACTACACCGACCCTCTCACGGGGCACACTTGCACTGGGTGCAGTCTGCTCTATGACAACCACAGCTCAGTAAAGCTGTTAAAATATTTATGAAAAGAAAGGAGAAAAGGAGTGTCAGTGTCAGTCAGCTCACACAAGGCCGCCCTCACCAGGTTGGCCAGGTCAGGGGCTCCCCCTGCCCCACAGCCCATGGGGACTTAGCTCCCTGGGCTCCCTGCTCCTCACCCAGCACCTCTCTGGGGACGCCCGGGTGGCACAGTGGCACGGACCTGGCAGTACGGACATCCCAGGATGTCGTTTACTCTGTGCTTCACCCTGCTGAAGCACGAACATTCAGGGGGGCCTTCAGCGGGCGCACGAATTACTTGGTTATCAGTCAGCTGAATCCCTTGCTCATTTAAATAAACTGTTTGAATAGTTATTCCTCACCTGTTACTTATTATCTAGTTAATTAAATACTGAGTTACCAATCACCTGTTACTTAATATCTATTTAATACAGTTATTGATCACTTGTTGTTCAATATCTACTTAATAAAAAGTCGTTCATCATTTTTTATCTAATTAAATATTTAACAAGCTATTTATCTCTGACTTGTTGCCTATTATTTACTTAGTGTTTAGCTGGTAGCTGTTTGTCACTTGTTTTTTATCAATCTGATGAACTCTTTAATTATTAAACACTCAGACAATAGGCTATGACTAGGTATATTAAATAGGTTGGATAGTCACTGACTTCACCAGCCCGAGACACCCCGAGGTGCCTGTCCTACGGACCCTGTGCCGACGCGGCAGGAGGCACATGGGGGGCTGCAGGGACGGAGGGAGGGGCACCACAGGACGGCGCCAAGGAAGGCATGTGGGCCCCCAGAGAGGCCCCGCGGACTGGCAGGCCCCGCCGCGTGCGTACCTGGTGCTCCTCGTGCTGCTGCAGCAGCTGGCAGCGGTGGCGGAGGAGCTCCTCCAGGCCCAGCTCCGGCTCCTGGCACTCCCGCACACCCTGGGGGAAGTCTGTCAC